TAGCACCACAGCTGCTGCAGGTGGGCATCTCTGCTGTGTTCAAGCCCCCTTGGCAATGGCAGAGGAGAAATGAATGCAAACCCAGTGCCCAAAGTGGGTTGGGAAGTGGAAGTCTCCCAGGCATCCCAGCCAGCCCAGGAATTGGAGCTTATGATTTTGAAGAGGTATCCTGCACCCTGTTTGCTGCTAGATGGCCAAAATATTCAAAATGATTTATGATTTTATTTGCTTAAAATAAGACATACGAGATGGCCTGATTTTCGGAATATGCTGAGCATCTGCGCTTTGAGGTGTATTGAATTATATAGTCCAAATCACTAGTAAGTCCTGGAAAATCTTGAGTATATTCTTAATTCTATTAAATTGCCTGCACTGGTTCTGGCTTTGCTAGCTGAAAAATGGAAGAGGTGAAAGTTAAATATTGGCCATGTGTGTCATTCCCTTTGAAGAAAATGGGAGCCATGTGCACTCACCTAACAGCAAAGTTTGGCCCCAACTATGATTTCACAGCTGGGCCCTAACTTCAGGAATGCCAAAGCACTAAATGATTCAATTGGAGTAATCTGATCAATGCTGTATTTTTGCTCTGAATTTAAATTGCACACACAGCAAAAGCAGAGTTAGTTTTCTTCTCACTCAAAATCACTTTTCTCTGCAGAATTGATAACATAAACACGAAGTTTTGCTCTCGTCACACAAATAAGTGAAATGGAAGAAAACGTATGTCAAGTAAAATGCACAACATTACGTCCTTTTTACTTTTTGGAGACTGTTTAAGAAAATGGCTTCATTAATTTTGACTGAATAAAAGGTTCCTTTAAGGGATTTCAATAGGTGACATGAAAAATGTTAATACGAATGATCAAGACAATGGAGGTTAAAACTGTTTTGAAAATATGTTTCTTTTATGGATCTCAGCTGTTGGAAGAGTTACAGAATAAATATACGGTAGTGCTGACATTCGGTGCTGTTTCATCTTAGCAAAAGAGTTTTTAATAAAGAAAATTCTTTTCAAGGAATGCTTTCTGCAGCCAGTCTTCAAAAAGAGGTTTTCCCCCCTCCTAGTTTAATAAAATTAAAGTAATTTATGTCATATTGATATGTCGATATGTTTTTCAATAAACTTTTTAACAGAGATTTAAAAAAAAAATTCTCTTCACTTTAAAAATTATAATTATATGTCTTCCTCCCACTTTGAAAATGGCACAAGGTGCTCATTTGCAGAGCTCTACTGTTCAAATCTTCACTGAGAATAGAAATGTCATGACTCAGTTAACAATGCTTTATTATTCACATTGATCTTTTTTTATAGTGTTCTTTATCTCAAAAACATTGTAAATCAGATATCTTCCTCCCACTCTTTTGTTCATTTGCAAATTTTTATTATTCTAGTTTAAAAAAGCAATGGAGTGTCAAGAGTCAGTGTATATTGTTTATGCTCTTTTTTGCTTTAAAATTACTTTTAACTATTAAAAAGTGAGGGTGTACAGCTGGGGGGGAGGGGGCTGGGGTGGATTTAAAGATGCTTAAAAAAGAATTGAAAGGATCAGTGTGAATTGTTGTAACGGACTTTGCAAAAAAAAGGGGGGGACCAAAAAATACGAAAAGGTTTTTATGTGCAAATTGAAAAGTGCCTGTTGCATCAGACATCATCATCTGCATTAGACACCAGACATAATTCATGCTCGCAACGAACATAATAGCAGAATTCACAGGTGCTTTTGTGCTTTTGTGCAAACCATCACAGGGTGGTTTGCAGGTGCCTGCCCAGAGCCCCGCGCTCTTTGCGCTCTGTGTCAGAGCTTGGTGCCAGGCCCTCCAGAGCCCTCAGTTGATATGCCCTGGATTATCACTGGATTTTCACAGGAACTTCACAGCTTTGGTATGAATTTCAGCAGAAATGTAACCTCAGCAGGTTGTGCGGGGCAGGGTGCGGGATACAGCCATCCTCCGGGAGAGCTTTGCCAGAGCCCCCAGGGTTTCTTTCTATACCAGATCTTCCAATTCTGCTTCAGACACTGTTTTCCTTCCTACCAAATTTTGCTTTGCATCTTTATTCATGTCCCGGTTGTTGGGAATGTATATAAAAATTCCTTATAGTATTTGAGGCTCTGCCAGTGAGCAGCCGGACCCTGCGGTGTTTCACATACACCTCTATGTGCTGAGGGAGCAGCAACTTCTAAAGCTGAATTTAAGCCCCAGATTACCCTTTCGTTTCTTGTGGGTGGTGTGGCATATTATTGCAAAACTTTTGTAAAGAGAAATAAAGTCTCTGTTCTATATTATCTTTTTTTTTTTTTTTTTTTTTTTTTTTTTTTTTTGTTCTTATTACAAATGATTTTTTTTCCACCTAACACTCTCTGCAATTAAATTTGGAAAGAACTTTAATTTTTTGGTTTTATTTTTTGTAAGCTCTTTCTAATGAGAAGCGGAAATCTTAGAGGCAACTCCAGGCAGAATTTGTGAACTTAAAAAGACAGTGTGGTGACTTTCGTTAATGTCCCATGGTCTTTGTCACTCGTGTCACTTCCTGAATGACACTGAAGTTATTTGTGCGGAGTTTATTCCCGAAGCAGTTGTTATACAGAGCCATGGTCACAAAGATATCCTCACAGCATTAATGCCAAAGGAGCTCTGAGGCTGTCAGCATGCTGGTGGGGGTAAATGCCATCAAAGCAGCATGTTTTCTTAAAATACACCCAGAGAGTTTAAGCACTGTCAAAAAGAGCTGCAAATCACTGAAGATGCAGCATTTAATATAGAAGGGTCTTTAAAGCTCTGCTCTTGGTAAATTGGCATGTGATAGTATATAACTATAAAAAAACATGTCTTCTAATAAGTTATAAAAACTTTTCTTTTTTCTTTAAATACAATGATGAGTGGCAATCTGTGAGAGTCACGTCTTCTAGACTTTCATAGCAAAAACTCTGATTTACATGGTAACTGCTCTGCTCCCAGCATTAAATACACTCATCTCATTTTGCAGTGGAAGGATGTTTTTAAAACTGCAGCCTACCACTAATCCTGAATAGTGTAGGAGAGACCAGTGAAACTCAAGATGTCTCTCCCTGTGTATATTAACTTGTTTGGAACAAAATAGTGTTCTTGGAAACCATGAATCTTATGGCAGAAGAAAGTTTCCTTCATGACTGTGCTCCAAAGGTTTCCGAACAGCTGCTTGATCATTTGGGTGCATGAAATATTAGGTTCAGCCTGGTCACAAGCAAGCACTTAATTTCTTCTCACCATGGCACCTTCGCTGTGGTCATTTCTGCCTGGCTTTGTAATATTGGCGAGTGCAGTGCTAGCACAATGTCTTCATTGTACAGGCTTTCAGAGGAGAGCTGCAGAGTTCCTGAAATCTCAGTGAAATGCCAAACTCTCCCTACCACCAGCTGTTTGTCCGGTTTTATAAGAAACTGTACTCCCAAGGAGTTTTGCTAGTGCCTGATGTGAACAGTGGCCACTGGGCCATGCACAAGGACCAAAGGGTTGGTTGGGCAACCTGCAGGGCACTGAGCTTGCCAAAGGCCCATGGGCAGCATCCCTCAGCTGCCTGACACGGGGCGGGTGAGAGCACCCACTGGAGGAGCTCATCTCCCTCCTCGGCGCTTCCTCACATCAAAAGTCTCACAGGTGGACAACCCCTTCTAAACAAGGAGGTCACAGCGCAGGCCCTGACAGGAAAAAACTGGGTGTAAATGAGATGGAAGAGATGTCACTGCTCTAACACTGAGATTAGGCAGAATCTAACACCCATTAATCCTTCAGAGCAGGGCCTCTAGTTTGTTCTTTTTTTTTTCCAGTCTATTCCGTATTCAAAGCAAGTACATTTTTTTTCTGTCACTATACCACTATTGTTAACAACTATAAATGTATTAAAAACACAGGGGCATTTTAGTATGTGTATTGTGCATAAGAAATATTGTTACATGACAAGCTCCAATTGGCAAGTGAAAAGAGGTTTTATTGAAGGAAATAGCAGTAGCAAACAGTGAACTATGCAGAATAATGGTAATTGTTCCTTTAACATTGGCAGCGCACGTTCACTTAATATGACTGCTCCTCTGTCTCTGCCTCATCCAGACCCAGAGGACCTGTTAGACAAGCAGGCAGCCACCTCTCTCTGGGATCAAGCTGTCAATGCAAACTTGCTTTCTTTCTATTTCTCAGAGCTAAGCTATACCCCCAGAGCTCCTGAAGCTTTTCCTGAGTGAAAGCTTTAAAAAAGCTCCATTCTAAATTACATCACACGAGCTGTTCTCTTCAGACTGACAGAACAAAAGCAGGGGGGAAAAGCCAAAAGTACCATCTGAATGACTTCTGAGTGGCACAGAATGATTTGCCTCCTCATATTTTATCAGGCCAGACTAACGTTGTCTTGACCTTGCTCACCAAAGCCCCAGCAGTGTCCTATAATGACCAGAGAAAGTTTGCATCGTGTGTGTGTATGCAGTACAAAGAAATGTCGAGCTGTTGGGTGTAGTAGGCCTTTTGCTTGCATCAGCAATCTTGGAAACCACATCGAGAATGGTCCTCATGGGGGCATGGTGTTCTCTGACTGTGTTTGGGGTGATGTGGTCCCTAATGCAGCCAAGTCACTGTGACGGGTAGAGCCCAGCTTGGTGTGCTCATCCTCTAATCAGTAGCACCTCAATTAACACTTGAGGTGCTCAATTAACTGTTGAGGGCCCCTTCCAAGATCTGAGAGACCCCTCAGGCTGGCTCTGGCTGGGACTCTCCAATTAAAGGTCATCGGCAGAAGTGAAGAGAGCAGGTAGGCCTCACGGCTTCAGCTGTGGCTGAGGAGGAAGGGCATAAAATGGCGGATCTCCCCGTTGCTCTAAAGGTTTTCAGGTGGCACTGAGGGGTTAGACAGCCGTCAATCAGGAAATCATCATCAGCTAGGGAAGAAGGAAGGGGGCTAATCCTCCTTCTTCAGCAGGTAAATAAAGGTAAGATGAAGGCCCAACAAAGTTATGGGTGTTCTGTGGGTAAGATGAAGGTTTAGCAGCCTTTGTAAGCAGGCTGGGTATCACTTCGGTGTTTGCCTGATCCCAGAGTAATCCACTGAGATACAATAAATTGAAACAACAAAGTTTTGTGGCTCATAGGGTGGCCCTTTGGGGTTCTTACTCAATTTTTAGAAGAAAATGCTCACGAGGCTGAATTTTTCTTTAAAAAAAAAACATATAACTGTACTCTAAACTGTGTAGGCTTAGCCAACTGCATGGCACTTCTATGATTGTTCTGCTGTTTTGTGGTAAATGTTGAAATATTTCCTTAACTCATCTTAATAAAAATAATATTCTTGTTCTAAAACGAGCTTAAATCTGAAATGCAGCATGTCAATGTTAAGGCAAATAATACTTTGTTCGTATTCCCCATGGAATTAGGATAACTGAGCTCATCTTCTTACATGAAAAGGGCCACTTCAGTAGTTACGTTTATGTGGTACCATATATCATGGGCAGAAGGAGCTGAGGAGGCAGGGGGTCTTACCTGAATCTCCAAGAGGCTGTAGGATGGGCTTGTCCAGCTCTGGAAAACAAGAGTAGGAAAGGAAGGCTTCACTAAGAGGGAGAAGTTCCTCAGCTGGTGAGGTGGGTTTGCTGTCCCACATAGGCAGCAGTGTTTTCTAAACTTCTTAGTGCTGTGTTCTCCTCAGAGAAAAGTGAGAAGTGAAGCTAGTGGGGCTGGAGACTTCATCCCCTAATTGACTTCACAAGTAAGGAAAAACAGTTCTTAATAGAAACTGAGAAGTACCTCTTCCCCATAAAGATCTAGCATCTTGTGACCTCTCACTGAGGTTTATTTTTTTCCTCAGGGGACACACCAATATTCGTATGACAAACACAACTCATCTTAACCAGAGGAGCAGCAGCTCTCTGAGGATCCTGTCTGGCTGGTGCGGTGTTCATCCCTGAATGTGAGTGAGTAAAGCTTATGTTTTTGGCTATGTCTTTTTGCTGGCTCATGTCTATGTTGTCTTCACCTGTTCAGTGAAAAGGCTCTGCCTTACACTGTTAAGGACCACTCTAATGCCCATTAAAGCTGATAGAGATGTTTAACTTCAGGGCATACTGTTATCAGGTGTTGTATCTGCTTCCTATGCCAAGTCATGAAAATCTTAATTAGGCAAAGTCTTCATTAAAATAATTACAACCAAGGAAAACACTGCTAATGAACCTGAACATAGACCTCATTACTGTGTGCTTCATCACAACTCTGTTCCTGTCAATGGTAAATATGAAGATGCTGGACTTGAAGTTTTTGAATCAAGCAGAGTAAGTTATCAAACAGCTCTAATACATACTGTGTAGTTTTCTGAGTCAAAGCTGTGTGATATACTGGGGGTTCAAATTTAGATCACCTCTCTTAATTTTTCTGTTTTGTGATGACTGAGTTTTCCTAGGTTTTTAGCTGTATTAGAGTTTTGCACTGTTTTTCATCACCATAGTATTTGGATATCTGATAAAATCAATAATGATGCCAAAGCAGAAGATTTAATGATGTCTGTGACACTGTGTGTTTCTCCTCTGCTTGGAGGGGAAAACATAAGTAACAACCTGACTGGGGGGCTGTATACTTGGGTGGCATTGCTATGCCATAGGGTATGGGAATTTGTGCTGCACAGCTGTCACTCATAAAAAAAAAACTCAGACTATTATTTAGTAAATCTGGGTCTGTATGTGTGAACTGGGAAAAACACTAACCTACCTTGTAAATCTCAGGTCATGCTTGTAATAGTGGCAACCAGAAGCTTACTTGTAAAATAAGGAAAAACTGATCTGGAAATAATTTGAGACAATAGACAGGGTGCCACAGCCCTGTTTCCAGGTTCCTGATTCAAACATAGCTGGTCTTTGTAGGACAGCAGCAAAGCTCCTGATGGCATGGGTCACCAACGCCACACCACAAGCAAGATGTGGAGTCTGTGGAGCACTGTGTTGCTGAAAATATTAATTTGCTTTTGCTACCGTATAAACCACACGACCCTCTTCTCCTACCCTACACTGACGGGCATCCTGTATTGCTCTGCCTAGTGTGCTGGTTCTTCCTGCCTCAGGGATGTATTAGTTACTTGCTTTTGCCTGTACCAAGGTCCAGAAATGGTTAGGGTGGCATCTCTGACAACCTCTTTCTATGTGGATTCAAGTAGTTTACTTAAAGGGGGATTTTTAATCTCCCCCAGAATATGAGGCAGCTCTATGGTAGTGTCTAGCTTGTGTGGAACAAGGCCGCTGAACTTAAGGCAGGAAATTTAAGGTCCCGAACAGACAGAATCACAAGAGCACAGACGAATAGTTTGCAAGTGTGCTGCACCTGAAGAAAAAAAAATAAGTTGCTTGGCTTTTCCTTTCCTGATGGCACCCAAAGACTGGGAAAGGCTAGCAATATCAAACTGCCCACTGGAGCTGGCGACTGCATAAACCTTGACTGTCCCTCACAAGTGCTTGGACAAACCATTCAAATCCTGTGTGCCTCAAATTATCCCCTGTAAAGCAGGGACATGTATACTTCCTAATCATATATGATTGCTTTGGCACTGAAGTCATGACTGTAAGTTAATATTTGCCCGTAAATGCACTTGTCAATGTCTTGTGGTTGCCTTGTTCAGCTTCAGAAAAAGTCTTAAACTTTTATGCAGTTAACTTCCATGGCCATTACAGTTTATGGTCACTAGTTAACTACAGCAGGAGGGTCAAATTTTGCAGACTGTAGTTTCTTTTCAGCCTGCAGGATTTCTCCTCCTCCAAGTCTGTTTTCTACTCTTGCCAGTACCCCGCCTTCTGTTTAAAGGCATTAGTAATACCAAATAAAGCTAGAGATGCTCATTATAACAACTAAGTTGTTTCCTTTTTAACCAGAGCAAGTGCTTATGCCAGGTTTGCATGAAGAACCTCTCTGTGTGTCTGGTTTAGGGCACAGTACGCCAATCATTTGGTAGAAGACAAGTGTATTACATGTAATTTTGCTTTTAGCTGTACATTTACTGGAAAGCTGGTATGAGCATTGGTAATCTAATTTTTGCCTGGTTGGAGGTGATGGAAATATAAAGAACGGGAAATAAAAGGTTATTGCCATGTGTGCTGAATTGTGGTTTGGTAGCAGCAGTTGTCTTGTAGTTAAGTGGCCATCAAAACCCTTCTTGGGGTGGCAATAAATTAAAAAAAAAAAAATCAGAAAATATATCAGTTTTCAAAGAGTAAAAAAAAGATGTGGCAATTATTGTGACACAGGTTTGCCGTCTGTTTCTGATTATCCCTTTGGCTGGAGAGTTGGGATTTCTAATTGTAAGGTTAAGGAATCCTTTTTATCTATCTCTTGCCTCCTAATCCTATGCTAGACAGTATTGTTTTCTGTGCCTTTTGTCTTCTGGGGAAGGAGACAATCTCTGGCTCATGCAAACATCTTGTTAAAGTCTGCTGAGGATTAGGGGGTGTGACAGTTTTCTTGCTGAGCCTTTTTATTGGGGATTTTTATGCCTGCTTTTCAGGGAGGTCTTTGAAATGTCTTTTATGTAGCAATCATTTCACTCTTTCTTTGTTGTCTCAAATGTTGAGGCTGTATTCTTCTCATCTGTTCCTGTTTATATTCTATACTAGCTGGTCATAACAGTTTGGCTTGAAGCTATCATCATGCTGTGTGCTTCTGAATCGCAGGGGTATTGCTAACTGCTCTATGACAGTTGCAAATTCGAGCATTATTTTAGGTCATCTGAAGCCTTAGCATGGTTGTTTGTATGAAATACAGTTAAAGAGGTTCCAGATGAAAAATAATAACCTAGGAGTTGGGCTTTTCAAGTGTCTGCAGCTAGATACAGGCGTTTTAAATGCTTCTGCTATAATGGGATATGTCCCTCTCAGGGTGGTGTTCATCATAGCAGCTGTAGCCTGGCCTAAACTCCTACAATAATCAAAGGAAGAGACAAGCCTGTCTTGCTGGCAAGGCATTGCTTCTTGACAGAAAAAACTTAATCTGGGAATAAGTTGCTCTTGTGAAGAAATGTTTTGTCCCTCTTCCCCATCGTGAAACCACCTAGCAGTTGGCTACCAACATAATAATAACAAATTAGCCCATACCAGAAACTAAACTTGTAAGTGACTGAAGTTAGATAACAAAAAGACTAATCCTGACCAAAAAATAAAATAATTTCTTCCAATTTTCATAAGAAGATTGAAAAGTTCTGTTAATCTAACATTTCAATTTTGAAAAGCTGGGGCTTTGTCAGTGTTCCTTGAGCCTTTAAGTAAAACAAAAGACTGTTTCCTAATGCCTTTTATGAGCAGCACTCCTGTGTCTTGAGCAACTATCTTGATTCAAGAGTCCATGTGTATTATTTTTAAAATGAAATGGCAAGCACGTGTTCTTGCTGACTTTAATGTGGTGTTTATTTTGGAAAGTATGTAATCTCAGGTACCACCTGGGGAGATCAGATTCAAAGTTAAGCAACGAGCCAGGGTTATGTAGTTTCACTGATAGTGAAGGTATCAGAGGCAGCTTTCTGAGACTATCATATGGGTGGGGAAATGGTTGCATAGTCTTCTGCTTTGAGAAGGTCGAGGTAAAAGTGTTTGTAAAGACAAGATGCTGTTTTGATTTCTATTTTTTTAAATATGGCTAAGCTCTTATTACCTTACACAATGTATCTTGCTTATTGTTCATCTTCTTCTCCAGTACTTTCCTATAAAGCTGTTTTTCTGTCCTGATCAACAATTTGCCCCATGTAACACACTTCCACCTGCATTTACTTACAGCTTCTCTAGCCTAATTTCTAGTGTCTAAAGCCATATATAATATTGTTCCAATTCACACTTAACCACAAAACCCACTCTTCCAGATATGACCTCAGTTTATTTTATATCACACTTCTTTTTCCTAAAGTATTTTATACATAGCATAATATGCAATGATACGGCACTGATGTTTATCAAAATTGTTTCACACTGTAGTTATTTCTATTCCTGTCTTTTGGATCAAGTACAGTACAGCTGCAGATTAATACCACCTTCTAAAATAGGTTTAATGTGTTTATTTTCTTACCGCATTCACTCCATCCACTAACTTGTTATATGGATTATATTTAATGGGAATCTTGTGGGGCTATCAAAGGCCATTTATTTTCTATTGAAATAACAATTAAGATAACACACAAACTAATATAGTAATCAAATAAACCTGACAAATAACAAACTTTTTTTTAAGGCTGCGGAGGCATGCTAACAAATCTATTTGATCAATATATGGGATGTGAAAAAAGAGGAGACAAGATTGACTGATGAATAAAATGGAACTGACACAAATAGGCTGACAGCCAGTCGCAAGTCTCTTTAGGGCAAATGCAATTAACTTAGAATAATAGACTCAAATTTGATGGTTAGAAATGCATTTTTATTAACAATCACAGCCTGAATCATTATGCACTCTTATGAATAAAATTGTACTTATACTGAATGTCTGTGTATACATGTATGCATGTACATACAAAAAAGCCTCGTTGAAAGAGAGCTTTATTTTCGTGACAGAATAACTGTATGAGATTTAAAATAAAAAGCACACATAAGTATAAATCTAAATATTCAAACCAGTGATATAAAAATCACATATGTGGTATGCTAGTATTAACGATAAAGGCAATAAGCATTGGTCCCAGGACTGCTTGTTCTTTTGGGACGTGAAATTGCAATCGGGGATTTACAGATTTCATTCTGAGGCAGAGAAGTCATTACTAGAAACATAAGCTCATTCTCTTTACTTTAATAGCTATTTTAAATCATTCATTTAGAAAATACATTAACTATTTATTGTATAGGCAGTACATTTCTATTGGCATTCCATTTTCATGCTTTTTTATAATCCTTTTTAGCAAATTATTTTATTAAAAGAAGATTAGAATTAGCAAAAGGATCCTACCAATTTTTGAAA